TTGTATTTGATTGACTGATCACAGGTTCTCATTGTTCAAAGAACCTAAAAGATGCTGCAAAAATCTTTCCAACTTTGTCAAGTCACATGACTACTCACCGTGAAATCCAGAGTCCTCATTTTCTTCAAGACATTTTCTCTTCATTCATTCACAATTCTTACAGTTGCAAGATGTTCGGGGCGGTTACCTGTTCCAAATATCCCCCCACAATATTTCAATGGGATTTAAATTGGGACTCGGACTAAGTGAGCCCATAACCCTCCATTTATTCTAACTGAACCATTATTTGGTGGGTTTGTTAGTATGCTTTAAATCCTTGGTTCTCAACTGGTGGGCCGTGAGCCAAAAGTGGGCCGCGACCCTGTGTTCAGTGGGTCGCCACGTGCCTTCCACTTTTCTATGTGAGAGCCTGCTCAGCTTCCCCCTAGCGCAGCACTGTCAATTCTTGCACCAAGCAGCCATTCAAATTATGCTGGCCGTCGCCGAGTGTCAGCATAAGGCTTTGGCTGCGAGGGAGCTCCATCCATAAGTGCATTGCTTACAACTCCCTTGCATGCCCTGTAGAGGTGCCGGGACCAGAGTGAGGTCACATTCTGTCAGCTGGCACCTCTACGGGGTGGGCAAGGGAGTTGTACAAGCAATGCACACATAGATGGAGCTCAGTCACAGGAGCGCACACTGGACCCCAGGCTGAGGATCCACTCCAGTTCTCGTGAGGTAGGGAGACTGGGTGGATCTTAAAAAAAGATAGTGTGAGATTGTGTCTGTGGTTGCGTGTGTCTGTCAGTGTTTTTGAGGGCCCGTTCACACTAGTACAGTGGGTTAATAGAAAAGTTCTGTACAATTAACAAACTGCATCATGTAATTGTACCTATTACATGTTCTGCTGCTTGAGGTGCGTTGTGTTGCCATTCTTCTTAATGGCACCCCAAACCCACCACCCGCCCACAGTTCAATCGCCCGCACCAGAACGCACGGTATCGCAGTGCCGTACATTCGATTGCAGTGTGACTTGCTTACACCTGTGTCACTGAGGTTACACAGGTTGAGAACCACTGCTTTAGATCATTATCGTGCTGAAAAGTCCATTTCCGGTTCCACTTCAACCTTCAGACTGATGGCCTCACATTACATAGCACACTTTGATGCGTTGCACAATGCAATCGCTGTAGGGAGTGCAAAGGGACCTTCCATTTGTCTACGTACAATGCAATCAGTCAAGGTTTCCTTATTTATTTATTTTTTCTTTAAAGAATAGCGGAAGAAAATTGCATTTAATAGATTTGTGTTACTGTGTATTGCTGATGAGACTTTTCTTTTGTCATTCCATGGAATGTTGATGGTTCAGTTTTTTTCTGCTTGTCTCATAATGGGAAGTGTCTGTGACCAGGAATGCAGTATGGCTATGTCTCTGTCCTAAACCAAGGGTAGGCAACTTCGGCTCTCTGGCTGTGGCAAAACAACAAGTTCCATGAGGCACTGCAAGACTCTGACAGCCACAGACATGACTCCCAGAGGCAGAAGAATGGTGGGATTTGTATTTTCACCACAGCAGGAGGGCCGAGGTTGCCTACCCCCTGTTCTAAACATTTTCAGGGGAACTTTCTAAAACTGGAGCACACAGAATCTGAAGCAGCTGTGCACAAACCAATCAGATTCTATCTTCAGTTATGTTCAATTATGCTTTGAAAATGAAATCTAGAAGCTGATTGGTTACTTTGCATGGCTGCGCCAGATTCTGCCTGCTCCAGTCTTTGTAAATTCCCCTCCTTGTGTTTTGAACTGACCAGCACATTTTACCCATCTTTTTCATGCTTGTTCTCCAGTTCATCATTTATGCCACTCACAGACTTCTACCAGTGTAAAACTTGGAGTAATAAAGACCGCTCACT